AGAGAGAGAGAGAGAGAGAGAGAGAGAGAGAGAGAGATTATGCATTACACTGTAATCTAATGTCCTCTTCAAATCACTGCGGAATCAATTATTATATCACACTTCTCCAACCGAAAACACTTATATAAGTTACGTACACATTGTCACATACATCAATCGAGTGTCACGCCAACCCGAACTCATCCTCTGCACATATCTACACATTAATTGGATGTTTTTTCTTTACTTCTCTTGTCGACCGTCTTGCAGGTCGTCCTTCGTCATCCCCTTGTCGCTGTTCATCGACTTTTGCCCTTGCATCGTCATTGTCATCGCGCCCCTCCACAACTCCGTCTATCCCTTCATCACTCAACGAAATGCAATTAATCACCGACTTCGACGTGGTTGGTCCCTCGACCTTCCTCGTCTCCTCCTTCTCTGTCTCATCTAGCAGTTTCATCATCTCATCGGAATCATTTTGCATCTCACTCGCACGTTGTGCATACCCACCTTGTTGCATTTCATTTGCAACAGCCCCACTCCCGGAAGGAGTGGCGCTCGCCATCTGCGATGCATACTCGTTTCCCGTCTGCGTTATTAGAGGAGGTCCGTACGATGTAACGTTCGATGCCACTTTGTCGACATTCCGTGGAACCTCGGCCGCCTCCATTATCTTGCTGGCTATCTGACTCATCGCTTCCCCAGCACTCGTTGCAAACTGCGTGTTTGACTCCCCCCCAATCTGTGAGCATCCCAACCGGATTGTCTCAACGCCATGGCCAGCTTGAGGAAGATCGATCTTCCAGTTGATGCTCTTATATGACCGACTTGACTCCAAGTCATAGAATTTGTGTTTATATTCCAGTCGGTTTTTGGAGTGAAGACATTCGAATAGCAATCGAGCCTTTTCCTCAATAGCTGCTTCATCCGCTCCGTCGTTTTTTTTCCTAACACGAAATACGATTTCGCTCTTCGTCAATTTCAGCCACGAGGCTTCATCCAGTCTGGCTCTGACTTTCCATCCTTTTGTTAGATGGACTGCCATCTTCCACTTCCCCTGTACAATGCATGGCTCAAATAGGTCCATATGCCACAAAATGTGATGCCCCCACTTGTCAGACGTCGTTTCTGGCACCTCGTCTGGAATGAAGTACGGTCGTTCACTGGCCTGCGCAATGCTATCAGGGATATCATCACCGGGCATCAGCTTCGGGAGGGCATTTGGAACCGCAAAGTCATCCTCGTCATCGTCTGGCCGCATTTCGTTGACCGGGTTTCCTCGAGATTGAGCCTTTTCCCGAAACCCCTGACGATTGCCATGAATCAGTACATTCTCAAGTGTTTGAATTGGCGTAAGCGAATCCGTTTGCATGTGTTCAATGGAACTCGCCCTGTCCGTCACGTCACGCGTTGGACTGCTCGTACCCGCCGATTTCGTGCGAAGTTCTTCTTCCTGGAGGCTTGGCGCGTTGCATGCAGGCACGTTTTTCATTCCCTCTCGCATACGTTTCACTCGCTCCTCGATTTCGAGGTCTGAGGTTTCAGTCTCCTCATCGCTCTCGATCGGATTCCATGCATCATATTCTTTGGCAATCTTGCTGTATCCATCGTACGTCAGCATTGCCTGATTTCCTCCGAACTTCATTCGTTCGCATCTTGCTACGAACATCGCAAACGACCCCACTTGCGCTTTATGGTAGCCACTATACGCTTCATATGCCATCGCTTTGCGAACTATGTAGTCATGCTCGAATGGCGTCTTGGGTTGGCCTTGGAACAAATATTCCTACATCTTGTTTCTCTTCTTGCCCAGCTTGTGGTACATGTCCCTGTCAGGACGATGCGCAGTCTTCTGTCTCTCAACGGTGCATTCGTTTCTCGCATCCTTCCCGAGAATTTCGATGACCTTCGTCAAGTATGAAATGTCTTTTGACGACGAGTCGCATGCGAAAACATGATGGCCAGCGCGCAGGAGCTCCCACACAAGTCTGACATGCGACTTTCCAATAAGAATCACCCCCTGGTCCTCGTGCAGAAACGAACTGCACAACTTCTGCAACCGTTTAGGATGTCGTTCCCACCGCCCATACACCTCTCGTTCGTTTCCTTCCTCGCCACCGTGCTTTG